AGATGGCCTCACATTTTGTCTTTTTTAAATGTCTTTGTTATAGCAGAGACATATATATGCTTGTTTTTCAAGCAACATTGTGAACAAACCCATTTAAACTGGGTTCTACCAGGACTGGGCAGGATTTGAACACAGCAAATTTCCCAGCTGTCATGATACAATATCACAGAAAAGGGATAGAGCAAGATTCTCCTAGATATACCCAGTCTAGGCTGATAACCCATCACTCCATGGGTTAGGTTATTTGGTGCTAATTCAAATACATGTATCTTCGAGTACACATCTCATGTTTGATGCAGGTTTCAAAGTGGAACATCTTAATTCTTTCTACACAATATAAAACCACCCTGCTTGCAGTCTCTTGCTCCAAAGGTCTGAATCCAAAGTGACTAACAATACATTTATACAATTCTGTATTGACGGCAAGTCCCATCACTATCAAATAGCTGCTCTTTCAATACCTTCAACAGCATTAACTGTGCTCAGTTCTGCTGAAGATATGAGTTTCTTGACCGTCACATACAGTCTGGTTAAATCCTCTCCACTGGAGGGAATTGAATAAAATTAACTCCAGTAAGAACATTTCCATTCAGCACCTGTTCCCAACATAGAGCAGAACAAGTGAACAAACTGTCCTGATGTAGACGTTGTAATGTCGCAGTCAGAGGAAGAGCTTTTGTGCCTTTTCTTTCACTTTCCCTCAGAACATGAGTATGTGGCCTACTTACAGCCTTCCATTTGTACAGAACTTTTCACAGAAAGTTTATTTGTTTTGGCTTCCCAAGAATGTCAGCGAGAGCACAAAAAGAGTCTCACTTGTTGTGGAGAGAATTTAGGCAGAGTTTCTATTGGCTCCCAGTTATTCTTCAGAGCCGTTTTATCTAAAGTCACCTAAAGTTGTTTTTATTGCTGCATCCACACTGCACCCAGCAAACAAAAGAAAAACTTGTAAATGCCATGAGTGTGTACTTGCCTTGTTGGGCAGCATTTGAAAAGTTTTCTTCCTGCACTCTGCTGAGGCTCAGATTTAACTTGACATGAGTGAAATTATCCACCAAGTTTTTCACATTAGTCTGCAATCAGTTACTATTTTTCCTGTACGTTAAAAGGTTTTATGAGGCGGTCAAAAGTATTTTATCTGCACCTCGATGTCCGATCATTGACGTCATACATGGCTGTGCGATTAATCGTTCAGTGTTTGTACCTGCCAACACTACCTGTTGTCTCTATTCATACCTAATGTGGTTGTGCACAGAATACAAAACAGCTGTTTTAACCAACAGAAGCACATAGTGCATTTACATGCACAGAATTAACTGAGTAACTGTCAGCGTTCTCAGGTAAGCTGATTTCTCCAGCGTCAGGTAAATGAGAAATCTCGTTAGGGGCCAGAAAATTCCAATGTCTGTCTCCTGGTAAATGTTGATTTCTTGCTGTAGCTGGCTTTGGAATTCATATTTTATCGTGTGATACATCAAAGACTGGAAAAGTATGGGCAGAGCAAATGGATGGAAGATAATAACCCGATGCGTCTTTGTAGTTAAATTCATTGCCGCCTGTAACCAGATGATGTCTTGGCTAGAACTAACGACTAAAACACTCGACAACGCCACTCTGGGAAATCTTACCCAGAGAACAGGTTACTGTATTAAACCCACACAGGTAAGTGTCACAGTAAAAAAAAGGGAACAGAGACGAGATTTTAAAATAATTTCAAAGAGCAAAAAAGGACAATTTGTTGCTCTTACTTTATTCTAATAAGCGGTCGAGGTAATGAATGTAACCAGGCTTCAGTGATTAAATTATGAGGTGGAAAACAATATTCAAAATCATATACACAGAGATGCAATGGATATTTAAAAAGGCAGCGTAAAACAGACTAATCATGCAGCAAAAAATGTTAAACCAAACCAACCAGCTAAAGCAAGAAAACACATGAATTAAATAAATAAATAAAACCACACTGCCACCGATAAAATATTAATTGACACCTCTGTGTAAAACCATTAAAACGATCTAAAAGTAATAATAATTAAAAAAAAAAAAAAACACACCTCTGCTAAAAATCACTAAATAAACCTGGCACTACTAGACCACTTAAAAATACAAATAAAATCAAATAGAAGCTAAGTGAGTTAACAAAACCAACGAAGCAGCAGCGGCCGTCACAGCTGCAAAGACAGAAACACATTAGTTCTGAACAAACCGTATTTAAAGATTTACAAAATGTTTGGCAGTTACCTTGGCTGTATCACACTCTATCAACAACAACGCGGCGACAAACGGCGTTCGGCTTCTGTAGGCAGGCGACACCAGGCAACACGGCAGCAGGAGACAAGCGTGATCTTCCGTTGTGCGGCCCATGCTTATACACTGTGTCGGCCTTTGTGTTTGATTAGGGAACTCGCTGCCGGTGCGGCACCTGGAAAGAGCTGAAATGCCGCGATAGCAACACAGCGAGCCCGAGTGACGGGCGGACCCAACCCACCGGTTACACGCCAAACTTCCACTATAACAGAAACGACCACAAACGAGCCTTTACACGTCTAAATTTGTCAGTTTCCAGTTTGCATTTGTTCACCTCAGTTGTGAGGAAGATCATTGCTGTGTGTCTGGCCACTCCAGTGCACGCACAAACTCACTAAAAGTCTTCTGTAAAAACAGTTAATATTGGAAGCCATGGTTCAAAAATGTAGTCGTCTGGGGGAGAAATCAAATTACTGACCTGCTGCATGTGCATTAAGAGAAAACGGGCTTCCACAGGCGCATCCTTAGAAATATGTTCTCTGATTACCTGCGAAGTACCCTCAGCACATGTAAAGCACACTGGCTGTCAGTTAGAATATCCTCATGTGTACCTGCTGGCTGCTGTCTGTTTACTTTGCGCTGGTAAATAGTTCACTCCGTTGCACACTGTACGTTTAGAGTAGGTGTAATGCAGTTGGCAGCCTGCCATGCCACTGTTAATTTTTGTCTTGAAAAATGAAAAGCGTGCATAATAGCTAAATACATGCACACAGAGATACGCACTGAGAATGGGATTGGAGCAGGAGAGTAGCGAGAGTGAGCGCAGTGTTTACAGATGATTCGTCAAGTGGCTCTGCAACAGCAAACTGTTAGAAGCTTTCTTACCGGTCAAGACTTCATATAAGAACATTGTTAAATGTTACATTTATTTCCTTATGAATAAGTAAATGCTGCTTTGGGGATTTGCAAATCTAACATCTTGACATCTACACTTTGGACTGTTGTGTTCTCTGTTTGTTCATAAGATCTTCACCTGAAATGTTAAGCGCTGTGAGATGACATATGTTGTGAATTGTGCTATATAAATAATATCTGCTGACAACAATGTGAATTTCTCCACTGTGAGATAAATAAAGGCGTATCGTATCGTATCGTATCGTATCTTATCTTATCGTATCGTATCGTATCGATCTTATGGTATCGTATCGTATCTTATCTTATCTTATCATCGTATCGTATCTTATCTTATCTTATCGTATCGTATCGTATCGTATCTCATCTCATCTCATCTCATCTCATCTCATCTCAATTGCATTGAATACACAGTAAGCCACAACATTAAAACCACTGAGACATGAGGTGACTAATGTTGATTATCTGGTAACGACACCTGCCGAGTGATGGGATATTTTAGGAAGCAAACAAACAGGTTGAAAAATGAGCAGCATTAGGATCTAAGCAACTCTGACAAAAGCCAAATTGCGATGACTGAATCACAGCAAAATGGCAGCCTTGTCCAGTGCTCACGGCATGCAACAGTTAGTATCCACCAAAAGTGGTCCAAGACAGAACAACCATCCCCCTGAACAGCTACTGTAGCGCAGATTCTTGAAAACCTTAATGGTAACACATGCAATGAGCACATGGGTGTCAGAACTGGAGCAATGAAAGAAGGCGGCCTTGTCTGATGAGTCATGTTTTCTCCTACATCATGTGGACGTAGGGGAGAGATGGCAACAGGATGCACTATAGAAAGAAGGAGTCAGCTAAGGCAGTGTGACGTTCTATGCAATGTTTTGTGGGAAATCTTGGGTCTTGAAGTTCACGTGTATGTGACTTTGGCACTACCACCTCTTTAACACTGTTTACAGACCAGTCTTCATGGCAGCAGTATTCCTTGGTCACGGTAGTCTCCGTCAGCAGGATGATGCTCCATGCCGCACTGCAAACACTGTTCAACGATGGTTTAGGGAACAGGATGAAGAGTTCGAGGTGTTGACTTGGCCTCCATAATCCAGAGATTTCTGTTTAATCAAGCATTTGTAGGATGTGCTGGATACACTAGTCTGATCCATGGAGTCCCACTTTGCAACTTCCAGGATCTGCAGCTAATGTCTTACTACCTGATACCATCTTTAAAGGTCTTGTGTCGTCCATTCCTCATTAGGTCAGAGCTGTTTGGCAACATGGGGGTAGCACCTACATCAGGGGTGTGGAATTCCGGTCCTCGAGGGCCGCAATCCTGCATGTTTTAGATGTTTCCCTCTTCCAACACACCTGATTCAAATGA